TGACTAATGAGGCTGAGCATCTTTTCATCAGATAACTGACCATTTGTTTCATTTGTTTTTCTGTTTTATGTCCTTTGTCTATTTTTCAGTTGAGTTGTTTGTCCTTTCCTTATTGATTTACAAATTCTTTGAGTTCAAGCTTCTGTATTTTATCAGTTTTTAAAATATCTTTTTTTGGGGGGTTGCCTGGGTGGCTCAGTTGGTTAAGCATCTGACTTCGGCTCAGGTCATGATCTCACAGCTCATGAGTTCGAGCCCTGCACTGGGCTCTGTGCTTTTTTTTTTTTTTTTTTAATGTTTATTTATTTCTGAAGGAGAGACAGAGCATGAGTGGGGGAGGGACAGAGAGAGAGAGAGGGAGACACAGAATCCAAAGCAGGATCAAGGCTCTGAGCTGTTAGCACACAGCTCAACCTGGGGTTTGAACTCACAAGCTCAGAGATCATGACCTGAGCGGAAGTTGGTCGGTTCAACTGAGCTACCCAGGCACCACTAAAAATATCTTTTGAATTTTATAACATCATTTGTAACAACTGCATACTATTTTATTAACATATTATAGCTTACTCATTGTTTAAAGCCAGTTCTCAATAGTCTTATTTTTAAAGGTTTATTTTTGAGAGATAGATAAGGCATGTGTGGGGGAGGGCCAGAGAGAGAGTGGGAGACACAGAATCCAAAGTAGGCTCCATGTTCTGAGCTGTCAGCATAGAGCCCGATGTGGGAATGGAACCCACAAACCATGATATAATGACCTAAGCCGAGGTCAGATGCTTAACCAACTGTGCTAACCAAGCACCCTCTCAATAGTTTTTTGTTTTTTTTTTTTCAACGTTTATTTATTTTTGGGACAGAGAGAGACAGAGCATGAACGGGGGAGGGGCAGAGAGAGAGGGAGACATAGAATCGGAAACAGGCTCCAGGCTCTGAGCCATCAGCCCAGAGCCCGACGCGGGGCTCGAACTCACGGACCGCGAGATTGTGACCTGGCTGAAGTCGGACGCTTAACCGACTGCGCCACCCAGGCGCCCCTCAATAGTTTTTTAATATCACAGATACCATTATGAAAATTCTGTGCATAGAATTTTCTCCATTATGAATTCTTTCCTTTGAACACCTTTTTGTAATTGAAATTACTGAATCACACAAACACATTTTTATACTTTTGATAGGATATTATCAATTTAACTGCCATCAGCAATATATTAAAATTCTAGATTCACTTCATACTCACAAGCACTAAGTATTATAATATTTAAATACATTTGCTAATTTAGTAACATAAAATTTTTCTTTCATTTTTTTTAAACAGAAAGAGTGAAAAAAAAAAAAAATAAACAGAAAGAGTGAATGTACTTGAGTGGGGGAAAGCAAGAGAAAATCTCAGGCAGGCTCCATACCTAGAGCAGAGTCCAACATGGGGCTCGATCCCACCACCTCAGGATCATGACCTGAGCGAAAACCAAGAGTCTAATGTTCAACCAACTGAGTCACCCAGCTGCTCCTAAAATTTTTCCTTTTATTTACTTGTAGTTTTCTTTAACTTTTAGTGAAAACCAATACTTTCATATAACTGGTTTTTTGTTTTTTTTTTTTTTTTTTTTAATTTTTTTTTTTCAACGCTTATTTATTTGGGACAGAGAGAGACAGAGCATGAACGGAGGGGCAGAGAGAGAGAGAAGAGACACAGAATCGAAACAGGCCCCAGGCTCGGTGCTTGGTCAGCTCAGGGGAGCTCCCAGTCCTATCAAGCAAAGTCTCCCAACCCACGACTGAATCAGCGAGGAGATCGTGACCTGGCTGAAGTCGGACGCTCTTTTAATCGACACAGCCACCTGTAGGCGCTTCCTCTGGTTTTGTTTTTTCTTGAGAAATTTTGGTTTATATTCTTACCAATCTATGTAAGAATTTCCTATGATTTTTCTTGATCACAATAACAGATCTACCCATCTATATGGATTGAGTTTGGTTGCAAGTAAACCAGCTCCCCTGTTTGTCTTCCATTTGCTGCAAACACTTTTTAGATTCTATTGGTTTCCATTTATTTATTATCATTATATATTTGTGAGATATAGAAAATTGAATTTTTATGTAGTAAATCTAACAATTTCTCCTTTGTGAACAGCTCTATCCTTTTTCTTTTTTTTTTTAAGAGTTAGGAGAGAATGTGTGAGTTGGGGAGAGGGCAAGAGGGAGAGAGAGAGAATTTGGGCAGGCGCTTCCTGGGCAAATTCCCCCTGGTCAGGCTCAGTCCATTGATCCAGCTCTTTTGATTTTGGGAGTCGTCAAGGATCTCATTGGAGGTGGTGGTGGTGGAGATTGACTCACTGCCAGGTTTCAAAAGTCTCACTGATAGCATAGAGCCTGCTTGGGATTCTCTCTCTGTGTCTCCCCTTTTTTTTTCCCCTTCCTCTGCTTTCTTCCCTACCCAGTGCACAACGGATCATAAGCTAAGCTGTCAGCTTCTCTCCTCAAAATAAATAAATAAACATAAAAAAAAAAAAAGAAAAAGAAAAAGGAATCTTAAGCAGGCTCCATGCTCAGGGTGGAGCTTGACATGGGGCTCAATCCCATGACCCTGGGAGCCTGACCTAAGCCAAAATCAAGAGTCAGATACTCAACCAAATGAGCCACTAAGGCACTTTTATCATTTAAAATTTTTTTTTAAATATAGATTTAAGTTTGTTAACATACAGTGCAATATTGGTTTCTGGAGTAGAATTTAGTGATTTATCACTTACATATAACACCCAGTGCTTATCACAAGTGCCCTCCTCAGTACCCATCACTCCACCCTAGCCCATCTTCCACCCACCTCCATCAACCCCCAGTTTATTCTCTATCATTAAGAGTCTGTTGTGGTTGGGGTGCATGGTGGCTCAGTCAGTTAAAGCATCCAACTCTTGATTTCGGCATAGGTTGTAATCTCATGGTTTGTGGGGTTGAGCCCCCTGTTGGGCTCCACGCAGACAGCATGGGGCCTGTTTTGGATTCTCACCTCCCTCCCCTCCCTCCAACATCTCTCTCAAAATAAATAAACATTAAAAAATAAAGTCTGTTGTGGTTTGTTTCCCTCTCCTCTCCCTTCCCACATGTTTATGTGTTTTGTTTCTTAAATTCCACATATCAGTAAAATTGTATCATATTTGTTTTTCTTGGACTGACTTATTTTGCATAGTATAATACATTCTAGCTCCAACCATGTCATTACAAATGGGAAGATTTCATTCTTTTTGATGGCTGAGTAATTCCATCGTATATAAATACTGTATATTCCTTACCCAGTCATTAGTCAATGGATATTTGGGCTCTTTCCATAGTTTGGCTGCGTGCAAGTGAGTTCTCCTTTCTCTGCATCCTTACCAACACCTATTGTTTCTTGTGTTGTTAATTTTAGCTATTCTGACAGGTGTGAGGTGGTATCTCATCATGGTTTTGATTTGTATTTCCCTGATCACGAATGATGTTGAGGATCTTTTCATGTGTCTGTTTGCCATCTGGATGTCTTTGGAAAAATGTCTACTCATGTCTTCTGCCCTTTAAAAAAATATTTATTTATTTTTGAGAGAGGGAGAGGCAGAGGGAAAGGGGGACAGGGGAAGAGGGAGAGAGGGAGAGGCAGAGGGACAGGCAGAGGGGGAGAGGGGGAAAAGGGGGAGAGGGAGAGGGACAGTGCACGAGTAGGGCAGGGGCAGAGACAGAGGGAGAAAGAAAATCCCAAGCAGGCTCCAGCTTCAGCGCAGAGCCTGATGCAGAGCTTGAATGCACGAATCGCAAGATCATGACCCAAGTTGAAATCAAGTCACACACTTAACTGACTGAGCCACCCAGGTGCCTTCTGCCCATTTCTTAACTGGGTTATTTATTTTTTGGGTGTTGAGTTTGGTAAGTTCTTTATAGATTTTGGATACTATCAGATATGTTGTTTGCAAATATCTTCTGCCATTCTGTAGGCTGCCTTTTAGTTTTGTAGATTGTTTCCACCTGTTCTATCATTTCTAAACCTAAATGACTATACTCCATTCAGTAGTTTGAAAATTATACTTTCTTTGTATTTTTCAAGATTCAATGATTTATGTTTAACTTATAATTATGACTAAACTTTTTGTTTACAATAATAGTTATCATTTACTGGGTATTCACTATATAATAGGTACTATTCTAGGCCCTGTTTATATATGTAAATTTATTTAATCTTTACAACTACTCTCTATAGGTTAGTTATTTTTAGTATCCCAATTTCAAAGATGAGGACACTAAAGCCTAGTGTGGGTGGTTAAGTAATTCAGCTATATCACACAGGTAGTATAGTTGGCAGAACCTGTTTTTGTTTGTTTTTATTTTTGAGAGAGAGAGTCTGAGCAGTGAAGGGGCAGAGAAGGGGCCAGAGGATTTGAAGCAGGCTCCGTGCTGTCAGCAGAGAGCCTGATGCAAGGCTCAAACCCATGAACAGTGAGATCATAACCTGAGCTGAAGTTAGATGCTCAACTAACTGAGTCAGCCAGGAGCCCCCAGAACCTGGGTTTTAAGTAGCACAGTCTGACTCCAGAGCCTGTGCTCTTAACCAATATATCATATACTGATACTCAAGTTATCTCAATGCCATTTTAAAGAAATAATTCTTTTTTTTAACCATTTTTTTGTGATGCCTCCTTTACTAAAATTCTTTTCACAGGGTCTCTTCTTGGGACTATTAAAAAAAAATTTTTTTTTAATGTTTATTTTTAAGAGAGAGGGAGAGAGAGAGAGTGCGAACAGGGGTGGGGCAGGGAGAGAGGGAGACACAGAATCCAAAGCAGGTTCCCTCTAAGCTGTCAGCACAGAGCCTGACGCAGGGCTCAAACACACGAACCGCGAGATCATGACCTGAGCCGAAGTCGGACGCTTAACCAACTGAGCCACCCAGGTGCCCTTCTTCTTGGGCTAGTTTGCTCTATTGATTTGTCTTTTCCAAAAATATCAAGTACTTGAAGAAAAAAACAATCTTAAGACATCCTTACCATACACTGGTGTCTTCCCTGGCAGGATGACGATAATGAGCTGCAGCCCTGAGTAGGTGTTCTTGAGATGCCGGAACATGGGCTCCACGCTGTCCGCCCCCTGCGCGTATTTGCAGAAGCAAGGCTGGCCCTGGATGGGCATCCCTGCATCTTTAGAAATCTTACGCAGCTGGTCCGTGAAACCCCTAGAAAGAGAAATCACTAAAACTAAATCCTTTGTCTAATTATTCACATCTACAAAGTGGAATGGAAAGTTTGAGAAGTGAATGGAAAATGAAGCAAAGATCTGTGTGCTCCATATATGAAGAGGTCACCAAGATTACTGAAATAAAGGCAATGGGGGGTCAGTAATCTATTTTCCAAACTAAGAACATTACTATAGAATTATGTGGTATTCTGTAGTTTATAAAGGGCATTAGTAATAGTGTGCTGGTTAAGAGTTCATTTCTAGACTTAGCATGACAGGTTTCAATCCTAATTCTGTCCATTACTAGCTCTGAAATCTTAAGCAAATTTTTTTAGTTTCTCTCATCTGTAAGATGATTACTTCCATTACAGAATTGGTGTGAATAAAGTGAGATAATAAATGAGCTTAGCACACTGCCCAAGACATGGTAAGAACTTGATAAATTTAAACTATTGTACGTTTTCTTTTTTTTTAAATAAGTGTTTATTTTTTTTAACATTTTTATTTATTTTTGAGAGAGACAGAGAGAGACACACACACACAAAGTGTAAATAGGGGAGGGGCAAAGAGGGAGACACATAATCTAAAGCAGGCTCCAGGCTCTGAGAGGTCAGTACAGAGCCCGATGTGGGGCTCGAACCCACACACCGTGAAATCATGACCTGAGCTGAAGTCAGACGCTTAACTAACCAAGCCACCCAGGTGCCCAATTTCTTTTTTTTAAGTGTTATTTATTTATATTTGAGAGAGACAGAGAGAGAGGGAGAGAGAGAGCACATACATGAGCAGGGGAGGGGCAGAGGGAGAGGGAGACAGAGAATCCCAAGCAGGCCCTGCACTGTCTGAGCAGAGTCTAAATGCAGGGCTCAAATTCACAAACCGTGAGACCATGACCTGAGCTAAAACCAAGAGGATGCTTAACAAAACTGAGCCACTCAGGTGCCCCATTGCACATTGTCTAATTTGATCATGACAACATTCATAAGAAAGTGGTAGGTGAGGTATTATTTCTATTTTACAGATGAGGCAACAGTTTTAGGGACAAGTATTTGACCAATGTCTAATGGCTACATGAATGTAGAGTCAGAAGTATGACCTACTCCAAAATTTCCTTCCACAATATTATGTATCTGATACTAGAACAGCAGGGAAGGTTGTGTCTTCAGAAAAGATATATTAAAAAAAAAAAAAAAAAAAAAAAAAAAAAAAAAAGAAACCAACATTTAAGAACAAATGAGGCAGGAAGCATTTCAATGCATTTTATCCACACTAAAAAAACCCCAGAAGACTAAATCCATATTAAAACAAAATTCTGCATTTAACTTAAGATAAACAAGTAATGATGTCATGCTTTAACAATCACTTTACTTGTTTTTAAAACAAATAAGGTCCTAAGCCAAGGATCTGAGTCATCTTTGCTCAAAAACATGTTAATTCCCTTAGAGACAAAGTTTGTAGGAATTCCCTTCTCCTTTTCCTTATTAGTGTTTAATTCAAGAAGTATAAAGTTGGATATTTTCAGTCAGCCTGAACAAGAACTACTAGCTGAAAGATTATGAGATTTCTATCAAGCCATGAATAACAAGTGTAAAATGAAAAGAGTAAGTCTAAGCCTGAAAAACAACTGGAGGCATTTTCTTTGGTCTTAAGGTCAAGATAATCATAGCATCGTAGTAAACTATCCTTCTGACATTTTACTTGAAAGCAAGGGGATAAAAACTCTGGAGAAAAATGTATATTAAGTGAACCTTAAGACATACGTTTAGAAATTTAGAGTTAATAAGATGTGAACATAATTAAATAGAAAAAATATTTTTATTTCTCATATGAAGGCAAAGCAAATTCTGAACTGACCTGGTTGGTAAACTGTATCTTTCAAGAACTATTCATTATGAGTATACTTTATAAGATCTATTAGTGGAGACTGAACTTAGACAGTAATCATTTTCTTTCAAGGAAGGTGACAAAATGGAAGTCTGGAAGCCTGTCCACTGAAAATGGACCATTTTTTGTTTGTTTTCAATTTAAACAGAAGCTTACTGAGCACTTATATGCTGAGGAAATGAATTTGGGAAAAAGGGAAGAAAGTGGTGGAGATGGAGGTCAAATTTTCGAAAGTAAGGAAGTGAAAATGAAGAGTTAAATCATTTTTTCAAGGAGCTCAATTGAGAAATAAGGATTTTATTTCATCTTCACCCAAGAGATAGGTATTATTATCTCTAAAAAGGTGAAAACTGAAGCATAATGAAATTAAATAAATTATTCATGATAATATAGCCAGGAAGTGGCAAGGCTAGGAATTAAACATAACCTATTTGCCATCAAAAGCCAATGATGCTCCTTCCATACCACATAAGCTGGACTGTTAAGGTGCCTACAAGCATGAATCAATAACTTTACTAACAAATTCAGAAAGTACTGACAAGAAACATTTTCAAAGGCTCAGTGATTACTCCATATTGAGACAATACAGTTAAAACATTAGCTAAAGTAGTTTAAAATTGAAACACAAAAAAATTCTCAAACCAATATAATGATATGCCTTACTTCAATATTTCTTCTCTGCACTGCCTCTGTGTGGCGAAACAAGCTATAGCCCACATTTTTATTTCAACTCCTGTATGGAACTGTTTCCCTCGCATGTCCCATACTCCATGGCTTGGTGTTGCTACTGTCCGATTCTACAGAAAAAGGAAAAAGAGAAATAAGGCAAAAAAGAAATACTTAACATACAATTTATTTTAATGAGCTGAAAAGAAAAACACTTCAAATTGCTGAATTGATGTATATCTGACATTCTACATGTAATAGGCTACTCTACATCAATAGTATTTCTATTTTTTATCCTACAAAACTAAAACATCTAAACTCTGGCAAAGATACCCAGAAGAAAAAAGTATTGCTGGAGTAAAACAACACTTTCTAATCTCAGACTTAGTTGGGATGCCCTTCTCTTTATAAACAGAAATTGTTTTTAATTTAAAAACCATCAACAGGTTTTACCCGTCCTCCATACTGCAGCATAGGTGCTGGGAGTACACGTCCGGTTACATGGGCCATTTCATCCCGAACTTTAAATTGAAACTCCTGAACAAATGGATCTGTTTCATAATTTGCACTTCTTACCTAACAACAGAAAAAGTTAGTAGTTATTTTCAAAATTTTCCCCAACCCCTGCTTTATTCATTAGAACCTTCCATTTTCGTCTCTTCACTGTATCAATAATGTTTTAGATCTAGTAATGGTGCCTTAATTACAGGATAGAGAATCTTAACCTGGGACTACAGATCATGAATGGACTGTAGAAGTCTGTGAACCTCCTGGTAATTTACAGAAATTTAAATGTATAAGGTAGAATAATAAGAAATTTCAACTATTTATAATCCATGAAAATGGCAATTTTATGTGATTAAACCTAATACATTTTGGAGAGGGTGGTCTAGGGATCATTAGAGGAAGAAACTCGTGACCTAAAAAATAAAAACTTCTAATTAGAAGATTCAGGCATATATTATTAAATTTTACTTAGAGTTTGACAGCAGCTATTGATGATTTTGAGGCTTTTTTCCCCTGAATCATTTGATTTACAATTTATATAAAACTACTTGAATATATTCTGACAAAAATTGCCATATTATAAAATATACTTAATGGGATACACTTAAAACAGATAAGGAAACCAGTATAAGATAAATAATTTTTACAAAATATATCTGTAGGTACGAAGATTAAGATTTTATTAAAAAAATTTTTTTAAGTTCATTTTGTGTGTGTGTGTGTGTGAGAGAGAGAGAGAGAGAGAGAGAGAGAGAGAGAGAGAGAGATAATGAGGGGGAGGGACAGAAAGAGAGACAGACAGAGGATCTGAAGTGGGTTCTGCACTGACTACAGAGAGCCTGATGTGGGGCTCGAACCCTGAGATCATGACCTGTGCTGAAGTCAGATGCTTAACTGACTGACCACCCAGGTGCCAAGAATTTATTTTAATTCAGTACAGACTTGGACCTCATAATATAATTCATGTTTATAGCATACTATAGTAACTATGTTTTTTCAAAACATATTTACTTGGTCTCAGTGTAGAGGTCAAATAAGGTTACAAAATGAAGGCAGTATTCAAGTGTTTGAGCAACAATCCATTAAAAAAAAACTATATAATTTAAATATGTAAAAAAAAAAATCTTCCCACAATAAACAGAAGAGTTGTTTTCTAAATTAGGCACTAATGCTTCTCCAAGCTTAAATGCCATTCATTTCTGGTGTGTTTCAGTGTACCTTCATAGTAAAGTTGCAAAGAATAACAACTACTATAAATAAAAACTTGCTGTGTGATGTGCTTGGTGTTAAGTTGTATAATTAATTCCCACAATAAACGTATACCTATAAACGTAGGTCTTTTGTAACTTTCAAAATCTTTACAAAGGATAAACCTAAAGCTTAGTTCAGTTAAGTGACTGGCCTAGAACCATATAGCTAAGCAAGTGACCTAGAATCTGAAACCATGTATGTTCTAATTCTAGAATTCCTATTCTCAATCACTGCACTAGTCTTCCAGATGGTATAATTGTAATTTTTTTTAATGTTCATTTTTGAGAGAGAGAGAGAGACAGACAGACAGAACACAAGCAGGGGAGGGACAGAAAGAGAGGGAGACACAGAGTCCAAAGCAGGCTCCAGGCTCCGAGCTGTCAGCACAGAGACTGATGTGGGGCTCGAACTCATGAACCATGAGATCATGACCTGAGCTGAAGTCAGATGCTTAACTGACTGAGCCACCCAGGTGCCCCGTAGATGGTATAATTATAATAATACAATAATGGTAACAGTAAGTAAGCACAGAAGATGGACCCCAGAGCTGTTAGATTCCAAAGCTTGTACTTTAACTACTGTATGATATTCTCTCTTTGGATAGGAAAGCTGAAATAAATGAGTTATAAGTAGTTATTGAGATTTCACAGAGACAGTGAGAAGTTCTAGCCTCTTAAAGGCTTTAAAACCCTGTCATAGATCATAAAAAAATCCATGATGAGAACAAATCTGTATTTTCCTAATTAAGTATCGTGTGATAGCTTTTATTTGCTCTTTATAAAACTATACAGGAATTTCCCATAATTGGCTCACAAAATGAAAAGGCCAGTTGTTAACTTTTTTATAACAATCTTCATTATTACTCAAAGCAATATTCCTATTTCCAGACTTTTTCCTTTTCACTTACATAACTTAAATGGCATTCAAGAAGAGAATAAGAGAAGATCCAGGTTCCTTTTATTTTTCATTTTGCCTTATCCCATCAGTTTTATAAAGTGGTACTGCTACTTTCCTTCTCTTCCACTCACAACAACGATATAACTTAGAGACCCTACATAGTTGGAGCAGTCTTGTATTTCTTTCTTTCTTTCTTTTTATAAAATTTACTTATTTATTTTGAGAGAGAGAGAATGAGTGGAGGAATGGCAGAGAGAGGGGGGACAGAAGATCCAAAGTGGGCTCTGTGCTGACAGCAGGGAGCCCAATGTGGGGCTCGAACTCACAAACTGTGAGATCATGACCTGAACCAAGGTCAGACAGTTAACCAAGTGAGCCACCCAGGCACCCCAGTCTTGTATTTCTTTATTCATCCTATACAGCTACCAGTCTGATACTGGGTACTAAGCAATTCTACTGATAGTTAAGACTCACTATTGCTAGTCATAATACCTTGATTTTTCTTCCTTCTCCTTTACTAGGTGGGAGGTAGTAAAGTTCCAGTTCACTAAACTGAAACACTGGTTCTGAGAGAATCTGCTCTAGATCTATAATTAAAGAGCTTGGGGTTAAATTAGAAGGATCTAACCCTTCTCATAGAACCCATTAAGGTTTACCCCTAGAACACCAATGAATGACTTCCATGATCCCTTTTAATTCTGATAGTCCATGAAATGGTAATAAGTAAGGTATGAGCTGATAAGGACATGGCTCTTCAGTAGTAGCTCATCCTAACATGTTTTTAATTCACATTTCTAGGGTCAAGTACTAACCAATCTGCTAATCTCCTCTTGTCTATCTGGCGCAGATCTTGCTGTTGCTTTGATCATAGTGGAAGTCTGATTGTCCGTTAGCTTCTTGATACATCGTTGCCCGGCCACGATATTACAGACCTACAAACGGAAAAAAGTTTTGTACTAGATGCATATATCTTTTTTTAACTCTCATTGGTAATTACATGTGAAATTAAAATTTCTTAAAATGTCTGTTTATTATGTTTGAGAAAGAGAGAGAGCATGAGCAAGGGAAGGGAAGAGACAGAGAGAGAGAGAAGGAGGTAGGGAGACAGAGGATCCCAAGCTGTGCTGACATCAGAGAGCCTGATATGGGGCTCAAACTCATGAACCATGAGATCATGAGCTGAGTTGAAATCAAGAGTCAGACACTTAACCAAGTGAGTCACCCAGGCACCCCTAAACTGCTTCTTTTTAATATGTTAAGAAGTAGTAAACAATACTGCTTTATAGTATGATTATAACAGGGTAAAATGTACACTCGATAAAAAGGCTGAAAAGAAGTGTACCAAAATGTTAACAATGGTTACTTTAGAGCAATAAGGATTTGTGGATGAAATTTTCCATATTATTTCATTACTAAAATTTAAAACAGTTCAATCTCCAAAATAAATGCGAGAGTCTGAAGTAAGTTATATGCCATAAAAACCCCAACAGAATGATGAACAAGAGGATATTAAGAAACAGCCTGAACACATTACTTCTAGTGGCAGGTAGGTATGTTTCTGTTCCTGCCCCACTTGCAGACAAGGAAGGTGTGGGTACTTCAGCTGAAGAGTATACTTTTCTCTGAAATACTGTGCTACTGTTCTCTCCACAGTTTGGCCATTTTCTAACTGTAAAGGAAAGCTGGAGAAAAAAAAAAAAGTACACATTAACAACTCTCATCTCATTATGGTGAGCAAAACTCCCAATCCACTAACTACAGCAAGCTGCCTCATATCATCTCTACTCTGACAAACACCAGCTTTTCTTACGTTTGATGACTGGCAGGCCTTCTTGTTACATTACAAACACGGTATTTCCGTCTCATTGTTCCACAATGAGTCACTTCAACCTTCAGACCTGTTCCCAACAAGAAAAACTGAGGTTATAGAACTGTCACATGTCAAATATTTATAAAGCCTGTTCACTACAGAAAAACTCAAATTCTAAACAGACAGAAAATTTGTGATACAGGCAATGTGAAATTAACATTTTATAAATAACATTGCTAGTAATGATTACAATCATGATATATCTATCTCCAAATATTTTCCCTATCCTATCAAGATCTACACACTAAAAAACAGAATCATAAAAGTTGCAAAGCCTATAGAGCAAGGGACAAAGTTCTCCATCAATTAAAAAAACAAAACAACCTGTTTATAATAAATTTAGGTATTTATTGCTGGGAGAGGGAATGGGAAATGAAAGAAGAGCTGTAACAATTCTCAACATACTCCACAATTTTCAAAGTATGTGATATGTGAATAGTCTAGTCATCACACAGTGACTGAAGTTTAGAATTTAATAAATCTCAGAAGGAAGTCCTTCAAAGATTTTTAAAGTAGGAAGCAGAAAATTCCAGGCCCTTTAACAGAGGCAGAGTGACAATTTAGTTGAAGTATAGTATAGTGACACAACTCTCTTACTACTATTAGAAATTAAATGCAACCAAACAATTCTTAGAGCAGGTGACCCTGCCTTCCTATGGAATCACTGATCCCTTTGAGAATCTGATGAAAGCGGTAAACTCTCAGAAAATTGCATATACACATAGATGTTCTGGATCCTTGCAATCCATCTATGGACCATAGGAGTATGAAGATCCCAGACCTACTTTACAAAGTGAAGCAATGGTCTTTTAAACCACTGGTAAAATCTTTGGGATTAATTTTCTTAAGCAGTACTGTCCAACAGAACTTTCTGAAATGATAGAATGTTCTACACCTGTGCTAATATGTAATCACTAGCAATATGTGTTATGGAGTACATGAAATGTGGCTAGTGTGAAAGTGAAAACTTAATTTCATTAATTTAAGTAGCTACATGTGGGTAGTGGTACCATATTTACCAGTGCAATCTTGGAGCTACTTAGATAGAAAAGAGTAACAAATTGATACAGTTGCTGCTGCTTACAGATAAGCAACTCCATTACTATGGCTTAGACTCCAAAGGCAGAAAATCTAAAAAGGGGCAGATGAAGGACAACATTTAGTTTCCTGATAGTATTTATGGTTATTATTTTTGCATTGTTTCCCTGTTATATTTGTGATTCCTATTGTGCAGTGGTTTTCAACTACAGGCAATTTTGCTCTCCAGAGAACATTTGGTAATGTCTGGAGACAATTTTAACTGTCATGACTGGGAGGTGCTATGGGCATTTACTGGACGCTAGATTTAGGGATTCTTGGATCCAGGGATGATGCTAAATATCCTACAATGGACGGGACAGCACTACTTCCCACCCCAGACCACAATAAAGAATTATCCAGCCTCAAATGTTAATAGTGGCAAGGTTGAGAAACCCTGAAACAGTGTAATTTATTTTCCTATGTAATCACTAACTGCAGTACCAAACACAAAGTTCATTCACAGTAATATTTTCTTCTGATTTATCAGCACAAATTAAGATGTTAAATGCACATAGCGTCAACTGTACCAGATTGGTATGGATTTTTCTTGAGAAGTACTCCTAATTGAATCAGTGATATAAATAGTTTTTATTAGTAATTACTATTGTAAGACTAAATTTCAGATCAATTAGAGTATAAAACACGCCTCTATATTATAAAGGAAACTAGAAAATAAAGTACTATCAAGAGAAGGCCTTATAAGAAGGAAATGTGAAGTAAGCAATATGAAATAAGCAGGATGTAAAAATATTGTTTAGGGAGAAAACACAATATAAAAATTATAAAATTTTTTCTGTTATCTATACCACCTAGCCATTTGTTTTCAAGTCTTCCCCCTGAATTAAAGAAGTTATTAGTAATATTCTAATAGCCTACTAAATAAGTTTATACCAAAAATAAATTGGTTCTTCTATAAACATATGGTACTTTTACTACGTACACTTCCTCTGATATTTCTGTTAAACCATCATGAATAATTATACAAAGGAACAACCCCAAAGTTACTATTGAATATTTAGGAAAAAGTTCAACTGGAACTAATGAATATACTAAATAAATCTATTCGTTACAGCACAGTGTGTATCACTATTTAACAGTTACCATCAAATTCCTTTATGCTGGCTAAAAAATTAAGCCCAAATATATAGCACAGAACATAGAACTTTGATTCTGCTGAGTTTCCATGGTGGGTTACATGATGTATGTTAAAGAGCCTTCTTAAAAAAAAATAAGAAGAAGAAAGCCTTTTTGAATTTGAATGGAGAAAAAAAATCATCAGTTGATCAAGTAGATCCAACTCAGATTTTTCTACCCCAAATCCAGGGTCATAGGTGCCTAAGGATTAGACCGAACCCAGGGCTTAGCAAAAAGTTGAAATTAAAAAAAAAAAAAATGGACTAGATAATTCTCTGCCCAGGTCCCTCCCGAAACCCTCCATCCAACAAAAAAAAAAAAAAAAAAAAAAAAAAAAAAAAAAAAAAAAAAAAAAAAAAAAAAAAAAAAAAAAAAAAATTTTGGCTTTAATAAATCAAATATTTAACCTATAAACTTGGCTTTACCTTCACTCTAACATCAACTTTATAATGCTTTCTAGTCATTTTTTCAGTCATTTCTTTGGGCCCCTGAGCAGTTGAAGTTAAGATCGAGTCCATGCTCTTCGGGCAGCAGTTGAATCCTTGTTCTGTACATCTTGTATTTTCTGTGATAGAGTGGTGATATGAGTTGATTGCATAGTTACCGCAAAATAATGTAAGTGACTTCATGATATCAGAGGTGGTAACTAAGCAGCAACTCCACTGGAAACCATGGTATTTTGATGATCAGACATTAATGGTGGGTAATGCACTAACCTCTCGACAATGCTAACAGTGCAGTTAATACGGATTATGAAAGGACAATGATATGGTTGCAATACACTAATATATGACACTTTGTTATTTTGGCATTTAGATAACTTGAGATAAAATAGATGCTCATTTTCAAAGCAGGAAGAACTTTCCTTTTAATGTTTTATTACAATGACACTCTCTCTCTCCCCTGGGTACTGAATGGCAAAGAATGAATGATTACTGGAGCAAGCAGAATGCACTGAGGTATTCTAACTGATTCAGGGAACTGAAAGATGTTCAGTGAACACTGAAACAGTTCAATGTTTCATTCAAACCAGAAGCTGAAAATTATCTACAACAGTCAAAATCTTAAAATACAAACAAAACAAAACAATTTCTGACTATGTAAGATTTAACACTTACAAATGGAATTTATACTACTCATTCTAATTAGAGAATATCTAACTTTTCTTCTTGCCTAAATAATAAAAAACTAAATACAGTGGAGTCACATCTTTTTATTTTTTACATAATCTCTATACCCAACGTGGGACTCGAACTCACAACTTCAAGATCAAGAGTTACAAGTTCAACTAAGCCAGCCAGGTGCCCCCAGTGGAGTCACATGTTACATGAGGATTAAGTTCTAAGTTATGAACAAGGCAAGAATTTTATACAATCAAAATTACTCGTGAAAAATACCTTCAATTGCTAATAAAGTACACTGTCAATAGGATTGCATATAAAACTATAAATGTATATTTAAATGTACATAGAAATGTACATTTAGATAAAGATGAATTACACACAAATTTTAGAACACTATTAAATTTTTTCTTTTTCTCTCCAGAAGACCTTATAGAGATGAATTTATGTTAGTAAAATATACATAGGATGCAACACCACTGTACAAATTTTAGCTCTAAATAAAATAGGCAAGATCAGTGATCAACTGTATAATGTACATGAAATAATGGAAGTTCCAATTCTAAAATAACACATGAAACAGGCTAGCTAGCCCCATATCCATAAAGTTTCAAAGGAATAAAATATTCTATCATTTCAGAAAAATAAGGAGGTCATTATATTAGAATATATAAAAATAATGACTCCAGTTCTGCCCTAACAATGTTTTTGGAATAAGTTTCCTACTTTTAACAGTATTATAGAAGCATTTTCCCATGAGATACTCTTACACTTTTAGCTAGCAACGCAAAGTATTAATAAAATATTAGCTGGTATCAATATTAATTTCATTACTCGGCATTTCTTTCTTTCAAACAATTATCTAAGATGTAATGGTAATGAATTTAATGTAACATTTCATAATCTATATTTTTACAGATGATGTTACATGAACAGACTTTAAACATTTTTTCAATAAAAGTTTGTTATATTCATGCATTTTATACTTAAGTTGTTCCAAATGCTAATTAATTCACCTTTTATCTCTTTGGTGAATTTTACCCGATGAGAATCAGTCAGAGGTCTTGGTTGCTCATCAATATTATGAATGTCAAGAACTTCACACATGAATTGAATTACAGGTTGTGCTTTGTAGAAGGCAGTGGCAGAAACTAAGAAAAACACAAATGGTACAAATTAATGTTTCTGTAAAAAAATTCAGAAATTTGTTCTCAGTTTCCATGATAATTAACTAATTATAAAGTTATAATTATCCTTTATGCATACTTATGTACATAAAAAAGCATTTCTGAATCAAGCAGTTTCAATTTGATGGCTGTTTGACTAGGAGACAGGCAGAAGAACAGAAAAGCCAAGTACTATAGTTTTTATTATCTATTTTTCTTTATGGGTAACTGAATAAAACCTTTCTCTGCTACATGTATAGAAATATTCTGGGTATGAGACAAGGCCTGTAAGGGGACACATGCCAGAGCTCCTTAGCAGAGGAAAAGGTTAGGTATTCTTTTTTTTTTTTTTTTTTTTAACTTTTATCAGGTTATTTTTTTTAATGTTTATTTTTGAGAGAGTAAGAGACAGAGCATGAGTGGGAGAGGGGCTGACAGCAAGGGAGACACAGAATCTGAAGCAGGCTCCAGGCTGAGCTATCAGCACAGAGCCTGATGCAGGACTTGGACCCAAGAACCACGAGATCATGACTTGAGCTGAAGTCGTACGCTTAACCGACTGAGCCACACATACGCTCCTAAACAAAGCTTGCTGTGCCACCCTGGCCTGTTTATTCTAGTGAAAGCTTTTCCTGTCTTGCACAGATTTGAGAAGACAGTGTTAGTAAATGATACTGGTACTAATCCAAATTACAGGAAGTAATAAGTAAAGAGCATTTGTCCGATGTGATCTAGCTACAGTTGGTAGTTTACTAACAGTCAACCAGCATGACTTCTTAATCTTGGGCTTCAGAACTAGAAGAGCTTCACCAATAGTTAGCACATCACCATCACTCATTTCTTTTCTTTTTTAATGTTTTATTAAAAAAATTTTTTTTAATGTTTATTTATTTTTGAGAGACAGAGACAGAGCACGAGCGGGGAAGGAGCAGAGAGAGAGGGAGACACAGAATCCGAAACAGGCTCCAGGCTCTGAGCTGTCAGCACAGAGCCTGACATGGGGCTCGAACTCACAAACTGTGAGATCATGACCTGAGCCAAAGCTGGACGCTCAACCAACTGAGCCACCCAGGCACCCCAAGAATTTCCTTAATTTTATAAAAATTATCTACCAAAAACCTATGACAAATTCAGGGGCACTTGGGCTCAGTCAGTTAAGCATCTGACTCCTGATCTTGGCTCAGGTCATGATCCCAGGGTCCTGGGATGGAGCTCTGCCTCAGGCTCCTCACTGAATATGGAGCCTGCCCAGGATTTGTTTATCTACCTATCTCTCTCTCTCTTTTTTTATCTCTCTCTCCCTTCCTTCCTCTCTCTCTCTCTCTCCCCCCCATCCTCCCTCCCTCCAACTGCTCTGCTCCCCTGCTCACGCTCACTTTCTCTAAAATAATTTTTAAAAATTCATATTAAAAAACATCTATGGTAAATTCAACTTCATTTACTAGGAAGTTCTAGCTAGCACAGTATTGCAAGTTAGAGAAATAACGGGTAAAAAGACTAGAAAGGGAAAAAATTATTCACAGTATGACTACACAGAAAACCCAATAAAATCTACAGATAAATTACAGAATTAATGAGAGTTCAGCAAGGTTGCTAGACTTAAGATCAATATATGAAAAGAAATTATTCTTATACATTGGCAACCAAATTAAAATGTAATTTAGCAAAATACACGTTAAAATTACAACAAAAAACAGTAGGACTTGGGATGAAATCCAAACAAAATATGTATAAGATCTAGAGAAGTAGGGGCGCCTGAGTGGCTCAGTCGGTTAAGCGTCCGACTTCAGCTCAGGCCATGATCTCATGGTTCATGAGTTCGAGCCCGTGTCGGGCTCTGTGCTGACAGCTCAAAGCCTGGAGCCTGCTTCGGATTCTGTGTCTCATTCTCTCTCTTCCCCTCCCCCACTTGTGCTCTTTCTCTGTCTCTCAAAAATAAAAAGTAAAAATGTAAAAACAACAGGGGCGCCTGGGTGGCGCAGTCGGTTAAGCGTCCGACTTCAGCCAGGTCCGTGAGTTCGAGCCCCGCGTCAGGCTCTGGGCTGATGGCTCGGAGCCTGGAGCCTGTTTCCGATTCTGTGTCTCCCTCTCTCTCTGCCCCTCCCCCGTTCATGCTCTGTCTCTCTCTGTCCCAAAAATAAATAAAAAAGTTGAAAAAAAAATGTAAAAACAACAAAAGGTCTAGAGAAGTAAAGGGTATCTTTACTATTGAAAGACACTACAGAAGATCTAAATAAATGGAGTAATATACCCTATTTGTATAAATTATTCCCATATTAATCTGCAAATTCAGAGTAATTTCAATCAAAATACGTATCACCTGGACCTGGAAATTAAGAAATTAAGAAGCTAATCCTAAAACTAACACGAAAGGGCAACAAAACAAGAATATTTATTAAAAAAAAAAATTTTTTTTTTTTTCAGAGAGAGAGTATGCAAGCAGGGGTGAGGAGCAGAAGGAGAGAGAGAATCTCAAGCAGGCTCCATGCTCAGTACAGAACCCAATGAGGGGCTGAATCCCACAACTCTGGGATCATGACCTGAGCTGAAATCACGAGTCAGATGCTTAACACACTGAGCCACCCAGGTGACCTTAGCCAAGACAATTTTTAAGTCTAAGGTCTGCCCTATCATTTATCAAGATTTGTTATAATCTTATTCAAGTCAAGAGACTATGGGGATAGACACACAGACCAGCAGAACAGATTTGAAAGCCTACCTCACACAATATACAAAAACAAATTATTATGCAGAGAATAAATATGAAAAAAAAACATTTAGAAGAAAATATAGAATATCTTTTTTAAAAAATGTTTTATTTTGGGTGGGGGGAACAGAGAAACAGGGAGAGAAAGAATCCCAAATAGGCTCTGTGCTGTCAGTGTGGAGCCCAACAAAGGGCTCGATCTCATGAACTCTGAGATCATGATCTGAGCCAAAACCCACAGTCAGATGCTTTACCCAGTGAGCCCCTCAGGCACCCCTAGAATATCTTTATGATCTTGGTGGTAAGGAAGAATTTCTTAACAAGATATTAAAACTATAAACTACTGAAATCAGGGGCGCCTGGGTGGCGCAGTCGGTTAGGCGTCCGACTTCAGCCAGGTCACGATCTTGCGGTCCGTGAGTTCGAGCCCCGCGTCAGGCTCTGGGCTGATGGCTCAGAGCCTGGAGCCTGTTTCCGATTCTGTGTCTCCCTCTCTCTCTGCCCCTCCCCCGTTCATGCTCTGTCTCTCTCTGTCCCAAAAATAAATAAACGTTGGAAAAAAAAAAAAATTAAAAAAAAAAAAAATAAAAATAAACTACTGAAATCATAAGAATTTCTTTCTCTTTCTCTCTCTCCTGAGCACAAGCAGGGGAGAGTGGCAGAGGGAGAGAGAATCTTAAGTGGGCTCCATGCTCAGTGCGGAGTCCAACATGGGGCTCAATCCCATGACCCTAGCATCATGACCTGAGCTGAAATTAAGAGTCAGATGCTCAACCAACACACCCCTAAGAATTTCTTAAAATACGTAAACTATAAACTATTAAAACTATAAGGGAAAAAAAAATATGGAAGAGAACTGTAAGAAATGCACCCATAAACAAAGCAAAACAACAAAAAACCACCCAAAACAGCAGCAAAATGAGGCTATAGATTGGTAGAGGACATGTGTAACACCTATAACAAATAATCAGTATTTAAAAAAAAAATTTTTTTTAATGTTTGTTTATTGTTGAAGGAGAGAGAGAGAGCATGAGTGGGGGAGGAACAGAGAGAGAGAGGGAGACACAGAATTCGAAGCAGGCTCCAGGCTCTGAGCCATCAAGCACAGAGCCTGATGTGGGGCTGGAACCCACAAACCGTGAGATCATGACCTGAGCCGAAACCAGACGCTCAACCGACTGAGCCACCCAGGCACCCCACAAATAATTAGTATTGAAATATGTAATGAGTTCCTATAATCAAGATACAACAAATGTGGCAAATGACATGAACTAGCATTACATAAAAGAGAAATCTAAATGTTGAAACCCATAAATTTTCGTGAATTATTTTATGTGTAATTAAGGAAATACATAACAATATTGAGCTATCATTTTACACCAGTCAAGATGGGCAAAGAATTTTAAGACCTGTAACACAAACTGACAACAAGCCAATGGAAGAATGAATGCTCTCATGCAGACTGGAGGGATATAAACTGATACAATGACGAGAGCAAATAGTAATGTATAGTAAATTTGAAGATATGCTTACTTTCCCATCCAGCAGTTCCACTATGTTGAAATACATACTCTAGAGAAATTCCCTATAAGCCAGAGGAGGCATGAGTAAGAATGCTTATTGTAGCATTGTTTTTAATAGTAAAACCAAAATATCCATCAACAGATGGATAAATCTGGAGTGTGTGCACATAATTAAAATGGACTAGCCAGGTGTTAGAATTCAGATCAATAAAATTAGAAATCAAGTACAGATATTATTGAGAGGACTTTGGTGGAAAATGAGATATTATCTACTACTTAGATTGCCAGTATCTAGATATATATAATCTACAACTAAGGAAAAAAAATCACCAAAAGAGACTATGTCTAGAATACCAGTAGGATAGTCTTCCAATTCATCAACATTCATCTCCAAATTTATTAAGGACATTTAAATTTCAGTAAGGTTTTGTAATACACTCTACAGCTCTAATGTATCTTTATATAGATTGATAAATGATAAATTTTTTTTGCTGATAGAAATACATCCTTTAATTCCTGTCACTGATTGTTTGTTTCACATTGATTTTTCCAAGCTATGTTTATTTTCTTCTTTTCATGCGTAGCAGTGTTTGAATAATAAAACAAGGACAAGCTTTAAAATAAAATGGACATAGATTTTGATCCTAGGTCCAACATTTACTGATTATGATTTCTCTGAATTTCTATTTGTTCAGTTGTAAATTTAGAATACCTACTACTCATAGCATTAGTGTGGGGATTCAATGCAAAGTACC